TTTTTTACACTACAGAAACTGCAAACCCACATGAGAGGAGAAGCTCCCTGGTAAAGACCAAAGAGCCATTTTCTCTGAAAAGAAAGCAGCAAAAAGGCCTCCCTTCACTGCTCCTGCCCCAGCCAGGAATTGCTCTGCTGCTGGAGGGGAATCTGACAAACCAACATGGTCTGTGTCTGTGTGGATCACACACCTGCACTRAGCAGGAATTTGGACTAATGGCTCGAAGAGGTTCTTTCCAGCCCCCACCACTTTTAAAACAGGATGTGCACAATGGTCACTCTCACACATTATCTTGCCAAAGCACCTGGCATGAAATAACCCTCCTTCTCCAGTAATTTCAGACAAGGTACACAAGGTCCATTTCATCATACAACCAAAATGCACCCTTAAACTGAAGGCTTCCTGTTATCCTTCCTCAGTACTTTTTCCTATATTTTAAAAGAAAATATATAAACCTTGTAGGCTTCAAATTCATACCTGAATGAGAAGGGGATGTGTGGGCCATCGGTCAATTATGCTCCACTTCATCTTTGGCTTCTCCCCTTTCTCATTATAGTAGCGATAAATGGCATTTAAACTGCTTCCTGAAACAGAGAGAATTAACAACACAAGTTCAGCCAGGCCAYCAGCAACCTGTCAGACTGAAACAGCTGGGCAGCAACCTATTATGATATTTCAAAATGCTACCTAATTAAAATGTAACTGTAAATCAGAGAGTCTCCAAAGGGAATGATTATATCCAAATCATACAGTGTGATYGAAGTTCAAATGATTTCCCCACGTTCCCAGGCTCACCTGTGGTGGAGCAGCTGTACTGGGGGTACTGGGTGAAGGCAATGGCYCTCTCGATTCCATCGCTCTCCATCTCCTGGATCGCCTCCTCCGTCAGGGGATGCACGTACCGGAAACCGATGTAGTACTTGTGAGGAGCTGCCAGCCCGAGCATGGGGACAGAATCACAGCAAAGGTGAGAACTCACAGTAACCCAGCATTCCTATGTCAAATATACAACAACGGGCAGCCTGAAACTGCTGAAATAATAAACTTCTTGAGAATTTGCTGGCTACTTTTCTAAAGCACTGTCATATAACCACATCTTTCTTTGGCCAAGCMATTTTCTGGTACCTTGCTTGGCTGTGATTAGAATGTAAAAGTGACTTATATTATGGTTTGCTTCTGCAGGAACATCACTGAGCTGCTTCTCCTGCATTTAGCAGAGCCATGGTTCCCAGCCTGATGTCTCACTGGGCAAGTCCCGATTTTAAGGATGTAAGGTAAAAAATTGTCACTACAAGAAGCTAAATGGACACCTCACAGGCAGATGCCTTTCCTGGCCAGCACGCCTGCTCCAATGGCACCAAAACCCCAAGGAGCAGCTCTATTGTCTGGGGCAGGAGAGCAGTGAGTCAGGGACWTGTGCTCTCCCATTCTGGTTTTGGGGGGACGGGGGGAGGTTCACAGAAAGCTTCATGGCTTTAACACCTCATCTCACATGCAAATATGATTCTCACCAAGGACATCTCACATATCCTCATTTTCCATGTCTAATCTTTTGGGTGTCAGCTTTGGGAGCATGGCTTGGTTTGGGGGGAGGGAGGCAGGCAGGGGAGCTTTGCTGTTTTGTTTTTTTAAGTGGAGGTTYTTAGGAGAACAAAAGCAAAGTTTCCATTTCATGGTTTCTGGGTCACTGGCTCTGAAATAACATTAGCAGGTTTCTGAAGGAAGCAGATGTCCCGTGCTTGGGCTCCACTCCATACATTTATGCAGGATTCAGAGAACAGGTTCAGACAGCCCCAGGACTCTGCAGGAGGCAGGAGAGCCTCCAGCTGGAAACAGCAGCAAATAATGATCCAGCTTTGGGAGCCCTTGAGCCAGTAACCTCATTAACATCTTTGAATGGCATTAAAGACAGAAGTCTCACTAACCACAGCAGGAGTTTAACTTGGGAAAGGACCTTCTGGGAAGAAACATGGCCAAGCTGGAAGCAACACTCTCACAGTGTCGGGTTTTGTTTAGGAGCACAGGCAGCAAAAGAGASATGTTGGTGTCTGTATACAGATGGGTTAAATAAGAGTGACATCATGTCCTGATTTGGGCTGGCATGGAGCTAATTCCTCTCCTAGTAGCTGGTGCAGTGYTGTGTCTGGATTTAGGATGAGAGCAGTGCTGCTGACACACTGAGGTTTCAGTGTCCACACCAAAACAAGGTAAAACGAAAAGTGAGCCTGGGTCACCACTGGCATTGCTTTTTTGCCACGTTTCACGTTGTGCCAGCACCTCCTGCCAGTTACTCATTAAGAGGGCTCAGCACTCCCAGACTGGTACCTGTAAGCACAGCATATTCCCAAATGCTGTCTGGAAGCACATCCAACTGCTCCAAGCTATTCTGAAGGAACACAGTGATCTGCAAGGTCACTTGGGATGCTGAAGGAATGGCTGGCAGTGTTCAGCACAATCTGCTGTTCAGTAAAAAAGGAGTCTCCAAAGGACTTATCAGGTGGGAGAGGTGCCCAGAGGAGGGTGTGACTGCACACAGAGGGGTCACCAAACAAAAGCAAGTGGGAGTGGGACACTGGGAAAAGCAGATAAATCTTCCAAGCTTTATCTGCAGAACCTGCTGCAAGCCTGACCCTTCAGGGGCTCCTGACATGAGTGACACAGCAGATCTCAGGCTCTAACTGTACTTGCAGGGACCACAGCTGGAATTAAGCTAGGGAGTCACCTGAATGAAGGTACCAGTGACACACTGCATGCTGAATGGATGGAATAAATTTGGTTCTAGCCTTCCAAGAAGGCTTAACCAAGTTACTTTCACCTTCCAGACCCTTTCAGCAGTTTCCTACCTCTAGCTGAGCCTGAGGCAGATCCACAGGGAAAAGCAAGAAGCCAAAGTCACTTTGCAAGCAARCAGTTGCAAGACACAGCAAAAGCAGCCCGAATGAGCAGAGCAGAGCAGTACCAGTGCGAGGAGACATGCTGTCCAGCAGCTTCACCATGCCCTCTCCCTGCACCGCTGTCCACTTCTTGATGGGGGAGCCRCCGCCGATCCTGCTGTACTGCTCCTGGATTTTCGGGGTGCGGCGCTTGGCAATGAGCGGTGCTAATTTACTGCAGATTAGAGAGGGACGGGTTAATAGCACAACCCAAAGCACCAGCCCTTCCCCAGAGCTCTGCTGCGGTGGGTTTTCYGTGGCAACCTCTGCAAATTACAGCAAACCAGCGTGGTTTGTTTGATGTTATATTCCACCACCCTTCCCACACCTCAACCTGCAATTAGAAGAGAACGGCCTTGCACTGACTGCTCCCAGGTTGAACAGTCCTAGCAAGTGCTGCTCTCTACAGAAGGTAAATGTTGGGACCTACAGCTCCAGACAGCAACACCCAACACCGCCTGTACCACAGCAGATCCCAGCGCTGCTCACTTTTGAACTGGAAGTGTCATCAGATCTCTGTCCAGGAAGAGCCGCAGTAAGAAATCATGGACATCATCCAGCCGCTCTGGGCCTCCCATGTTCAACATCARGATTCCTGTTTTAGGTTTCCTGTGGAAGCAAGAGATCTTTCAGATTCTAGTGAYCTACTGCTTTTATTTTTATTATTAAACAACCACTTTATCCTCCTCATTTGCCTTTTGCAAACACAGCTTGTATTCAGAGGCTCCTACTGCTTATGTAAATACTTGGGCTAGGAGCAGGAATGCCCAGACACAAGTAGCTACAAGATCTTTGCTGTTTTAAAAACTAAACAGACTTTGTAACTTTGTAACASAGATTTAGCTGGAAACACATAAATAAAGCTGTGCCTGGGATGCAGGCTCTAAGGGAGGTTGTAAAACAGGGTCTCAGCTGTGGATTCCAACCAAACCAAGCAGCAGCTTCCCTGGAAAACAGATGAGACAAACAAGTCTTTGTTTTCATTACTGTGGGGACACATCTCATCTCCTGCAGCAGTGACAGCAGCAAGTAGCCTTGCTACACATCAATTCATTGCAGGGCCAGTTCTGTTTGGGTTGGTTTTTCCACAATGCATTTTCATCCAGGGGCAGGTTTGGCACACTGTCGTAAGGACAGCATTCCAGATGGCACAGCAGTGCAGACTGGTACCAGCATTTACAGAATGGCTGCTGATCACAACTCTCACCTAATTGCCCCATGGAATTGTTTCCCCTACCCAAGGAAGCCCACGGACCAGCATCTCTCACTTCCTGGGCAGATGCTTTAGGTTGCACAGGGAGCTTTGCCCTCCTCTTGTTAAAGCCACAACAGGGCACTGAGAGGAGCCCAGGCCTGTCCCAATGGTCCAGGACCTCAGCTTCCATTCCCCTCCTGCTAAAGTGTCTACCAGGAGGCAGGAACTGTGAATAATAATGAATGTTCTTGTGTTACTCCTGCACTGCCTCGGGCCTTAGGTGGGCCCCAGAGCTCACCAAGCTGTGCAGGAACCAGGCTGTCCTTGCCCTGCAGACCCGAGCACACAGCACACGAGGCGGGCGAGTGCAGCCAGGCAGATAAACAATCACCCGCACACAAAGCAGACCCAGCCCCGCTTTCCGAGTGTGAAAACAGGAGCCGTATCAGGGCGAGGCAGCGGGCACAGAGCCCCCGCCCCGCCGCACACACCTACCGCTCCTGGGGCTGCATCTGGGGCTTGGTGCTCTCCGTCACTGCGGCGGCCGTGGCCTGGCCTCTCCATCGCAGCGGCACCCGCAGCTGGCTGCAGCTCCTCAGCACTGCGGGGAGACAACGGCACTGAGAACCTGTGCAGTAATCCCTCCACAGCCACACAAACCCACTCGCAGCACTGCCAGGGCAGCACTCATCCCTCCACAGCCACACAAACCCACTCGCAGCACTGCCGAGAGATAACAGCACTGAGAACCTGTGCAGTGCCAGAGCAGCACTCATCCCTGCACAGCCACACAAACCCACTCGCAGCACTGCCAGGGCAGCACTCATCCCTGCACAGCCACACAAACCCACTCGCAGCACTGCCAGAGCAGCACTCATCCCTCCACAGCCACACAAACCCACTCGCAGCACTGCTCCAGGTGCTGGAATCAAACAAAGTCAGGAAACGGCAAGTTCTGCCTTTCTGTGAGCATTCTGTATACTTACAGCTCTGCAGATACCAAAACACAACARGCAGCAACCAAAAAACAAAGCCTTGCTAATCTGAGTTCCAATGGTAAGTCCAAAATAACTGGTGACAACAGAGAACCAAGGGGATGCCACTGAGGAATATGSATTGATCTGTGTAATTCCTTGTGGGAGGGGTCTCAAAGGTCTCCCTGCATCCTTCTCCAGGCTAAACACCCCCAGCTCTCCCAGCCTGGCTCCAGAGCAGAGGGGCTCCAGCCCTCAGAGAGCCTCCTCTGGACTCACTCCAGCAGCTCCATGTCCTTCTCATGTCACGGGCCCTGCAGCTGAACATGACTAGATTAGCTTTAAGGCTCCTTACAACCCATTCCAACAATTCCATGCTGGTTACAAAAGACACACTTCATTCTCCTTGGGAGTTCATGGTCATTACATGGCATTATTTTAGTGCAAAAATAGTGTGAATTGTTCACAATGAAAACAAAAGGTTGAATTCTGCATCCCTGTCTCTCCGGCAATTGTTCGGTGTGACATTTCCCCTGTCAGCCACAGGAGCTCACAGCAATTGAGCCCGCTGAGCCACCCGCTGGGAAGAGCATCTTAGAGCTCACAGTTCCCTAATAACCTCCTGAACAGATGCTGAACRGCCTCCAAACCTGCTGAAAACAATGGCAACGAAAAGCATCCTGCAAATCCAGCCTCTTACTTGGGATTACGAGTGCGTARCTGTGGATGCCTGTGTCTGCACTGATACAAAAGGCTGCAAACTAAAGAACTTCAAGCATCACTGATGCCTGAAATGCTCTTTTCAAATATTTATATTTTACTTCCAGTTCTTGGTTATTACTTTCTGAGGTGCTGACACTATATGGCAATTATAGAGAATGATAAAAAGAGAAGTTTGAATGGCTGGGTTGATCTTTCTGCACTGTAAAGCATTTGTTCTTCCCCCAGAGGGTGGTTGGGCACTGCAGAGACTCCCCAGGAAATGGTCATGGCCCCAAGGCTGCCAGAGCTCCAGGAGCCTTTGGACAATGCTCTCGGGCACAGGGTGGGATTGTGGGGATGTCTCTGCAGGGTCAGGAGTTGGATCAATGACTGGGAGTCCCTTCCAACTCAGCACATGCTGCAATTGTCTAATTTAAAATGAGGTCTATGCACCTTTCCATCTGCATCATGAGGGACACAGCCCAGAACGGGATGATCCATTCCTAACGAGGATGATCCTAGCTTGATGGAACACTGGTAAAAGTGTTCTTTCCTATGTTTTAGAAATGGCATTACAGTATTACACTCCAGAGCAAAAACGAGGATGGGTAAGCTCATGGGTACCTCTCAATAGAGACACAAAATTGTGCTGCACAGCCAGGGGTGGGCAGCGGGAGGACAGCGGTGACCCTGCCCTGCATTTTCACACAAGCGCTTTCAAACAGGAGACTGGCTCGTTTAAGATGAAATTCCACAGAGGGTAAAATATATAAAAWTACTGAAAATCAGCGAGAAGCTGAGCCTACCAGGGAACACAT